TTGAAATAACCAGAAAATGATCAACATTACGAACATATAATTGACATAACGAGAAAAAATCGGAATTAAAAACACATTATGGAAATAACAAGAACCTGCAGTTTCAGACAGCAAATTTAGACTACCAGTGTGGTAGTGGGTAGTATTATGCGATCGTGAGTTTCTGACATATTGCTGTCACTGGTTAGTGTGCCCTCACCAGTAACATCTGCGTTGGTAATGGTCTGCGGAAGTATCGGAAATTCGGACCTGGCCAGGGACATCGAACCAGGTCACCTTTTGTGTGTAGCAGCCGCCGTTATACATCTCAAAGGATTTACACGTGTAGGTAGTACTCTGCAGACACAACTCCAAACATTCTGGCACCGTGTAAGGAGTTCGATGCTGCTCATCATATAGGAAAATTGCGTGGCGTGCGTATAGAGTGAAGTTGTCTCCGAATGACAGACATTCTGCAATGATAGGAAACAGCTTATAGTTGAAACAGTAGAGACATATGGTGTGAGTGTTTTATAAGTAATAAGTTGGAAGGGACACATGCATGGACTATCATTCGCTAACACGTAGTTTCAGCGGCATCGCGGCCCACTGAATATAGGGCGACTCAGTTCGCGATTCGTCTATCAAGCGTACAGGAACACCACAAATATAAATTCAAATCCAAGAGAGGACCTGATTTTGTTGGTTTGTTGTTTTACGCCGCACTCAGCAATATTCCAGCCATATGGCGGCGGTCTGTAAATAATCGAGTCTGGACCAGACAATCCAGTGATCAACATCATGAACATCGATCTACACAAAAGGGAAAGGATGACATGTGTCAACCAAGTCAGCGAGTCTGACTACTCGATCCCGTTAGTCGCCCCTTACGACAAGCATGGGTTACTGAAGATCAATTCCAACACGGATCTTCACGGGTTCACCCTGACTGTGATCAGTCAGCATCATACCCATGTTCGTTGGTTTAAACATAATGGACCTATATCTGCATTCTTTTAAACTCCCAATCCACAGTGATATAGCTTAATTATCGTTCAAAGCGACTATAAAATGCACAATTACTAAATTAGGTGTCATTTCATGTGCTCAAAAGGGTAACACATAAACTACACTTAAAGGCACTATATCACACTACACTTCTCTAAAAACATACTACCCATCAAAAGTTTAGACTCACTTAAAGCACTTATTGTATGTTATGTATATATATGGTTACATCGAAGATGAATTTCTCCACTAAATTGGGGGAACCAACTGCAAACCGTATGCAGATGAATTGCACGAGGATCATGCATCAAATTCCTGAATAGCATGTGCAAATATCGTGGATGTGAACAGCTGCGTTTTGGTGTAAAGCTTTGTCAAGAATTCGCCAATTTTGACTGAGTTTATTATTGAACTTAGGATAATAATATTTTCAACGTTACAAATTTGTTTTACAATACATCACTTCATGTGCAAGTACTACCTTTAAACAGTATGACATATTTGGCAATATCTAGTTTAGAACAGTTGACTGACGTAAGTGGCTACATTTACACTATTGAGCCTAAACTTTTGATGGGTAGTATATAGATAATTCATTTCTTTCAATAATACTAACTATCAACCCCCAGGGAAGCTGCCATATAATTTATTCCACAAATATTTACGTATTTAGATTACAATATTTAATGAAAAAGGCCGAATGAATTAATGCAACGTTGCATTAAATCGACTCTCGTGCATTCTACCGGTCGAACATTACTTCAAGCGAACCTCATAGAGTTATGTCCCTTGGAGCGCTCTTACGAATATCCTACGCACAACCACTCTCCTACCCAGAGTTCCATGCGGTCAGCCAGCATATTACCTCTGCCAAAGGCCAGAAAGATGTTACGATTTCTTTTGAAAAAGCTTGATGATTGTAGCAGAATTACTTGGGAATCTTATATAAGAATATTGTTAAACACGTATGGATTTGGTTTTGTGTGGGTAAGCCAAGAAGCCAAGAAGTTGGTAGTGTAAATGAATTTGCATCTTTATTTAAACAAAGACTCGTAGATTCTGCAAAGCAAAATATGCTTAGCAAAATAATGAATCAGCACATTTATCTTATTACAAATCATTAAAGTCATGATCATTACTGGATGTTGAATACTATACTAGCCACATAAAGAAACTGTGCATTGTCAAAATACTATCCCAGTAGATAAGTACGATAACAAAGTCAAAGGTACATATAAACTTTAATGGAGGGATCATGAGACCATAACAAGTCGGGAGAATTTCAATTGAAAAGTCAATCACAATGACGTCACGAGTCCATAAGCGGGACAGGGGTCAAACGACCATGTCACAAGCTCAATAACGGGTATGTCCACCATCGGCATTGAGAACAGCAGTGCATCGACGACGCATAGAGCTTATCAAACGTGCAAGGAAGGCTTGTGGGATGTCACGCCAGATTCTCTCAAGTTCTGTTGCAAGGTCAAGGACGTTATCTGGCGGATGAGGAAGACTGCGTAGACGTCGATCCATCTCGTCCCAAACATGCTCTATCGGGGAGAGATCCGGTGAATTTGCAGGCCAAGGCAGTAAGTCAACGTTGTGGTGTTGCAAGAAATCCATAGCAACCCTTGCCGTATGAGGGCGGGCATTCTCCTGTTGGAAGGTTAACCCAGGGCCATGACGTTGCAGAAAAGGAACTGCCACAGGTCGAAGAATCTAATCCCTGTAGCCCACACCAGTTAAGTTGCCCTGAACAATCACCAAAGCAGTTCTTTGGCGTGCTGTTTTACCACCCCAAATCATCACGGAACCACAACCAAAGCGATTCCTCTCCAAGACACAGGCCTGTGCATAACGATCTCCCACGCGCCTATAGGCACGTTGACGTCCATCACAATGGGAAATGTTAAACCTGGACTCATCTGTAAAAACAACATTTCTCCACCAAAACAAGGGTCTGCGGACATGATTTTGGTACCACATTCGGCGAGCTTGTCGATGACGTTGTGTCAGGATAGGCCGTATGGCGGGACATCGTGGTCTGATCCCGTGATGACGTAAACGTTGTTGAACTGTGTTGGGATGGATACGGTGAAGTCCTGGGATGGTTCGGGCAGTCATCACTGCAGTCTGAAACCTGTGGCGCAGATGGGTCACCCTTATCCATCTGTCCTGTCTTGGCGTTGTTACACGTGGACGTTCAGAACGTGGCCGATCGATGACGTCATTTGTGTTCTGGTAGCGTCTCACCATTGCATTTTTTTAACGATCGCAAGGGCAGGGGTTGAGTTTTCCAAAGTGACAGTATTGTGTGGCATTCATTTGCTCTGTTTCTCTTTCCCGGAATGCACGTGCAACAACGTATTGCACGTCTCAAGGACGAACCCACTGACGTCACGGAACGTGGCACGTCCATGTATGTTGGATACATGTCACTAATCTTATACATGTCACTTTAAATCCTTATGTGTCTACACAGGTTTGATAAATTTAGATTTTAAATTTTTGTATGCACAGTTTCTTTATGTGCCTAGTATATATTTCGAATGTACATCTAAAGGAAGATCGCCGTTATTTATGCTTATTACGTATTCAACAATTGCCTCTCCTAATGAATGTAAGATGTCAAGATGACAATGGCTTAAGCAACATATGTAAAATGTGTAATCGCAATGATTTTGAAGATGAATTACATTTTGTACTTGTTTGTAATGCATATGCAAATTTAAGCAGCAAATACATACCAGAATTTAATTGTCTATCTGTTTAAAGCAAATATCATAAGTTGTTAACATGCAAAGATAAGAATTTACTTATAAAAATTTCACTATTTATTAAACAAATTCTTCTTCAGTATATATTTTATTCCACACAAAAATTACGTATTTAGATTACAATATTTAATGAAAAAGGCCGAATGAATTAATGCAACGTTGCATTAAATCGACTCTCGTGCATTCTACCGGTCGAACATTACTTCAAGCGAACCTCATAGAGTTATGTCCCTTGGAGCGCTCTTTGCGAATATCCTACGCACAACCACTCTCCTACCCAGAGTTCCATGCGGCCAGCCAGCATATTACCTCTGCCACAAGCCAGAAAGATGTTACGATTCGTCACATCTCACACAGTCCATTCAATATAATGTACATATTTCTTAACTAGTTTATTTTTGATGAATCTACACATCCAATTCAACATCATTGTTAGAAAATATACTCATGCCAATGATGGTTGTCACCCTCTTAAAAAAAAATAATTGGAGAGGGGGTTGGGGGTGAGGTGTGGGGGTTGGGGTGGGGAGGGGCGTGACAACCATTATTGGCATGAGTATATCATAAAACGTGTAACACTATTTCAATTTGCGTAGCGATCCTTTGTTCACATGGGTTCTACGGCTCCACGTGCTGTTATCGAAGGCAATGATTTCAGTAAATATATATATTTTTGTTTCTTAAATTTCAGGAATTATGTATAATTACTGAAAATTTCACTAAATATACATAATTTCTGAGTAAATCAGACATTGGACATAATTACTGAAATTTTCAGTAAATATACATATTGACTGATTATACATATTTCCAGTAACATATATATATATATGACAAATGTTTCTGTTTGGAAGCTGTTCGCCTCGAAGTTTCAATTATCGTTTTCAGGCAATTCGTAAGGGATAATAAGTCATTCATTGCATCAGTAGAACGCTAAGGTGAGTGCATATGTCCCAATATGTATAGGCCAAAATATTGTCGAAAATGTGTGACATTGCGCGTTTAAATTTGAAGTGATTTAGGTTTCAGTACCAATTTGTCGGTTTCCGTATCTGTAAAAGTTGCTTAACTCAAAATATATATTTCTGTAAATAATGTCACAAATAACTGTACACAATAGTTATGATATCCATTAACGGTATTAAATATATGAACGTTTTAGCAAGTCAGGGTTTATTGTACTTGGATCACGTATATGAACGAATGTGTAAATATGTAATATGACCATACCCGTTAGATCTACACAGGCATTTTCTGCAAAGTCGAGATCGTATCCGATGCTGCATGTGCACAGACCGCCAAAACACGTTGTTCCTTGAAATATATCACAGTCTGCCTCGACCTGACAAGTGCCATCTGAAACACAAGCACACATGCCGTAATCGAAACGAATGTTTATTGTTGACCGTAACCAATATCCCCCATTCTTCAATGTCAAACAAATTCCGTGTTGGTGTGGTCAGGGCATCTGGCTGGAGTGCGGAATGTCCTTGGTTCCATTACGCGTCGCACCAAAAGACCTTAAAGGATGTTGCTTTTTGTTACCCTGCCAGTCGCTCACCAGAAGGGAGAGTGAGTGAGTGAGCTTAGTTTTACGCCGCACTCAGCAATAGTCCAGCTATATGGCGGCGGTCTATATCGAGGCTGGACTAGACAATCCAGTGATCAACAGCATGAGCATCGATCTACGCAATTGGGATACGATGACATGTGTCAACCAAGCCAGGGAGCCTGACCACCCGATCCCGATAGCCGCCTCTTACGACAAGCATGGGTTACTGAAGATCAATTCTAACTGGGATCTTCACGGGTTCACCAGAACGGGACAAAGCACGTCGTGGAGTCTTGGAGTCATTATAATGTATACATATGCTAAGTTGGAACGTGATATTTCATTACGAAGAACTGTGGGTAGCATAATTATACAGAATTATACAGAACTTGTTTATGAGTTCATGCCACAAGGACGTATCCTCCTATCTTATCTTGGCAACTCACTGAAACATTTGTATAACGTACTTGTACCATGCTTGGTTTACACATGTCTCTATCGTTTGTTTATATTCTCTTTACCATGTTCTCTGATGCCACCTTACCCCAGTAAACGGGCAAGACCATTTATGATATAGTATTAGAATAATAAGTAATAAAATAATCTGCATGTACATTGTACATTTAATGTATTAAACAATCCTACCCACAGTACTTTAACAAGGTACCCACAATGCATTCCGGTTTCCGGTTCCGGTTTCTGTGTATTCACTATATAGAATAGAGCTTCAGGCATGATATTTTTGTTAACGGGAAGTTAAACCCCATTTAGGCTTCCATAACATACCTTTTGCAATGATCTGACATGTTGGCAGTCGTGTAGGAAAAATATGTGATTCTGATATTATATGCTGTGTCTTATATACTGATATTTTAGTCTGATGGTGAAGAGGTCTTGAATGGACTCTTATTTTGACTTTGAACATATCATCCAGTGTTGTTGGGTTTTTTTCCGGTCGTTGTACATATGGGGCTTTATGATAGCCTAGTGGTTGAAGCCGAAGACCCCGGGTTCGATTCCACACATGGGTGCAATGTGTGAAGCCCATTTCGGGTGTCGCCCGCTGTGATATTGGTGGAATATTGGCAATGCTAAAAGTGGTGTAAAACGTAACTCACTTACTCACGTTTTACATATAACAGGTGTCGATATATACTACGAACAAAAAAGTATGGGAACACCTTAAAATTTCATAGTCATACTTAAACGTGGTAAGGTCATTTATACTCTAAGTAAATTGTGGGCTTAATGGGCACCTTAAAAGACATGTTAGAACATGCAGTGAAGCAAGTGATTCAATATTCGTTGAGTTTGAGTGGAATGAAACATTGCCAAAGAAAAAAAGGGCGCTGAAACACACCAGCACCATGTTTGATTCAAGCGCTCAAACACAGCGACCTAGTGCACGTGGAAGACATACTTCCCATGCAGCTCGTGGCAACGTTTCCTTTAACAGAAGCTACAGACAGTATTGAAGCCTCACAACATCTTCACCATGCCACAGCGCAGACCGTTACGCGCCCACGACAGAAGCAAGGCCATTGCATGGTTGCAGGATGGTGAATCCATAAGAAGAGTTGCTCACCGTCTTCGGGTGTCTACCTCTGTTCTTAGTGAGTGAGTTAAAATTTATCGTCACATCGGCAATATTTCAGCCATATCGTGACGAGACCTCTGTCCTTAACAGACTGAGGGACAGGTTCCAGGCCACTGGTAGAGTACAGGAGAGACTTCGTTCTGGAAGACCCAGAAAAACATCAAGGCCAGATGACCGATATGTTGTGCCCCAAGCCCTTTGGGACCGATTCACAACTGCCAGTGCCTAGTTGCCAAAAGCTGCATGGGACGTCTGTCTTCCACATGCACTAGTCTGTTGTGTTTGGGCGTGTGAATCAAACATGGTGCTGGTGTGTTTCAGAACCCTTGTTTTTCGCTGTTTTTGACAATGTTTCATTTAACTCAAACTCAACGAATGTTGAATCTGTTGCTTCACTGCATGTTCTAACATGTAGTTTAAAGTGCCCATTACGGACACAAAACGTTTTCTTACCTTAAGGTATAAATGACCTCACCACGTTTAAGTTAATATATGATTTTCGGATGTTGCCCTGCCTTTGTTGTAGTATATATTGTTACACATGAGGACAACATACGTGCTGGTGTAGTGCTTGTTTCTGGTGTAGTTGTTGTTGCCTCTGGTGTGGTTGTAGTTGGATCTTGGGTCGTGGCTTCCGGTGTGCTGGTAGTAGGATCTTCGGTAGTTTCTTCCGGTGTGGTTGGAACTTGGGTCGTTGCTTCTGGCGTGGTTGTAGTAGGATCTTCGGTCGTTTCTGCCGGTGTGGTTGGATCTTGGGTCGTGGCTTCTGTTGTGGTTGTTGTAGGATCTTCGGTCGTTTCTTCTGGCGTGGTTGTAGTAGGATCTTCGGTCGTTTCTTCTGGTGTAGTTGGATCTTGGGTCGTGGCTTCTGTTGTGGTTGTTGTAGGATCTTCGGTAGTTTCTTCTGGCGTGGTTGTAGTTGATGGATTTGGGGAATTAGTTTGTTCTGAAGACATCACAGTTGTTACCGTTGTAGATGGTCCTGATGTTGCAGTTGTCGTTGCCGATGCAGGTATAGGATGAAGACAAACGTTTGATGTTGACATCATTACAGGTACACATACTTGGCCACCGGTACAGGGACGACTTGCGCATGCGTGGCTCTAAAAGTAAAATGAAAACAACAATGGAATGACACAAAAAATGAGACAGCAAGCTGTCCTACGCACGAGAAAGTAAACACCTCCCGATCCTTGCATATCTCTTCGGTTAACTCCCGATTCTGTCATCTCTAATGGCATGATACAGCAAATTGTGCCACATGAACAAAATAGGAATACTACTTAGTGTTTGGTTTTTTTGAAAACTTTATGCGAGTGGCATACTTCCCCTGATTTAATTCATCCAGATGCTCTTCTGATTCAGCACGGTAGAGAACTGACTCTTGAGCTATGACCTTTATTTATTACATGTATATGACTTGCACGTTAGGTAAGGCGGTGGAGTAGCCTAGTGGTTAAAGCGTTCGCTCGTCACGCCAAAGACCCGGGTTCGATTCCCCTACATGGGTACAACGTGTAAAGGACATTTATGGTGTCCCCCGCCGTGATATTGCTGGAATATTGCTAAACGCGGCGTACAACTTAACTCTCTCACTCACTGCATACTGGATTGTTGTAAATATTCAAGTACACGTGAGTGGTATATAAACCTGATGCATGGCCTTTTGTTCTCAATAACCTGTGTGCTATTTTTCATCAACTGTCTACGGTTAATGTTAATCTGCTGCTAATGTCGGACACGACTGACTATGTTCCGGGCCATAACGTCCTAACTACCTCATGCTTGCCATAAGATGGATGAAGGCTGTGTTCCTTGACTGATTATGTCCCGCCCACAAATTGGCCTGACTACCTCATGCTTGCCATAAGATGGATGAAGGCTGTGTTCCTTGACTGATTATGTCCCGCCCACAAATTGGCCTGACTACCTCATGCTTGCCATAAGATGGGTGAAGGCTGTGTTCCTTGACTGATTATGTCCCGCCCACAAATTGGCCTGACTACCAAATGCTTGTCGTAAGATGGGTGAAGCCAGTGTTCCTTGACTGATTGTGTTTCGTCCACAAATTGGCCTGACTACCTCATGCTTGTCGTAAGATGGGTGAAGGCTGTTTTCCTTGACTGATTATGTCCCGTCCACAAATTGGCCTGACTACCTCATGCTTGTCATAAGACGGGGGAAGGCTGTGTTCCTTGACTGATTATGTCCCGTCCACAAATTGGCCTGACTACCTCATGCTTGTCATACGATGGGGGAAGGCTGTGTAACCTGACTGACTGTGTTCCGGGCCATAACGTCCTAACTACCACATGCTTGCCATAAGATGGATGTAGGCTGTGTTCCTTGACTGATTATGTCCCGCCCACAAATTGGCCTGACTATCTCATGCTTGTCATAAGATGGGTGAAGGCTGTGTTCCCTGACTGATTATGTCCCGTCCACAAATTGGCCTGACTACCTCATGCTTGTCGTAAGATGGCTGAAAACTGTGAAAACCAGGGGCTCCTTTCACGAAGCAACCTTTACTAAGGTTAACCTTAACTCCCATTCTTTAACATTGCACTAAGGTTACCTTAGTGACTTAAGATCACCTGAGTGCTTTGTGAAAGGAGGCCCTGACTGATTATGTCCCGTCCACAAATTGGCCTGACTACCTCATGCTTGTCATAAGATGGGTGAAGGCTGTGTTCCTTGACTGATTATGTCCCGCCCACAAATTGGCCTGACTACCTCATGCTTGTCATAAGATGGGGGAAGGCTGTGTAACCTGACTGATTGTGTTTCGTCCACAAATTGGCCTGACTACCTCATGCTTCTCATAAGATGGGTGAAGGCTGTGTAACCTGACTGACTGTGTTCCGGGCCATAACGTCCTAACTACCACATGCTTGTCATAAGATGGATGTAGGCTGTGTTCCTTGACTGATTATGTCCCGCCCACAAATTGGCCTGACTACCTCATGCTTGTCATAAGATGGGGAAGGCTGTGTAATGTCCCGCCCCAAATTCATAAGATGCCATAACGTCCTAACTACCACATGCTTGCCATGCTTGTCATAAGATGGGGGAAGGCTGTGTTCCTTGACTGATTATGTCCCGCCCACAAATTGGCCTGACTACCTCATTGCTGTGTCCGGGCCATTTGAAGGCTGTGTAACCTGACTGATTGTGTTTCGTCCACAAATTGGCCTGACTACCTCATGCTTCTCATAAGATGGGTGAAGGCTGTGTAACCTGACTGACTGTGTTCCGGGCCATAACGTCCTAACTACCACATGCGATTACAAGTCGTGTCGGAGTCGGAGGCGTACGAAGTAGAAAAAGTGTTAAAGAGAAGGGTCAATAAGACTACTGGTAAAAGAGAAATACTAGTTCGATGGAAGGGATACCCGAGCAAAGAATTCGACCAATGGCTACCAGAAAGTCACATGGTAGGGATTTCCTCAAAAAGGGGTTGACGTGCATGAGGAAGCTACCACTACACACCATCCTGCTATGCGTGCTGATCGTATGCTACCTGTCGCTGAAAGGTACCACATCGTCCGATCTAGCCGAGGATATAAAGAAGGTTGAAGAACCGTTGTTTGAATTACTGAAAGTATCGCTGTCTACGCGCTCAGTTCATACCCCTCCCGGCCTTTTAAGAAGTCGTAACAGCAACAACCCTCGTCTGTCACCGAACGTCAGCGTATGGGAGAACAGCACCGCGCATTATGAATAACGGTACGAAAGTGACAGATTTTTTACATTACCCTACCAAGCGATGCCAGTCCCGAAACTCGACCGGATAATGTACAGCACACTTACACCGTAGATTTACCATACCCCCTGAAGGTAAACAGAAAGGATAATTGGAGGGTTGGCGTTAGTACTGTGCAGATACCCGTGACATGGCACAATTTACCCGTTCCTCATAACACTTTCAGCGCGTACATGACTGTCCCCGTCCGTGAGAGAGTGTATAAGAAGGGCGTGGTGAGAAAGGATAAATTCGGCTTAGAAACCAAATTTCTGGGGCAGATAATGCTGCCGCAAAGGAATTATACGGTCGCGAGACTCTTAGATACCATGAATAGCTCCATCAACGTGCGGTTGCAAGCCTGGCGTGAAGAATATCATAAACATAGTAATGCAGGGGGTGGTGTGGAAATCGATATAGAATTGATAACGCCTAAAGAGACTAGTAAATATTTGTACTCCCGAGACGATTTAGTCTACATGGCCTCGGGCTTTGTGGAAAGCGATTTCGAGGGGGTCATGGTCCTAGATTCGACGTGTCTCCTTACTTGGCTTCCATGCTGGGTTTCACAACCGTAGTGCCCGAGGCGGGGGGCAACACCCGTGTATGCGTACTCGACCCAAGAACAACTCCCGTAGCCGATACGTGTTCCAATTTCTCCAAAGAACAACTTTTCCACAATATGTACGTCTATGCCGACATTATAGACGACCAGATAGTTGGTCACACAATGGCGCCTCTGTTGACATTGATACCCGTCAAAAGGAAAACGTTAAAAGATGTAGTATACGTGAGCGAAAAGAACCCTATTCAATATCTGTCTTTAAAATTTGACGAGATACGTTCTGTGACTATTCTTATAAGAGACGATCGCGGACGACCCGTATCATTTGCTAGCGGTCGGTCGGTGGTGATACTCCATTTTAAAAGCGAGGGATAAACGCGTAAGGCGTCTGTAAGGGATGTACGGGAATCACATACAGGTGTACGTGGGCAGGCATTATGGTCAAGGTGGTGCTGGACTCGGGAATATTTTAGGCGCTATAGGTAGAATAGCGATGCCCCTGCTAAAGTCAACGGGTAAAATACTATTGAGGGAGGGAGCCAAGGCTGCTGCGGGTGTTGTGGGCGACGTGGTGACGGGTAGTTCAAAAGCGTCAGAAAGTATAAAACGACGTAGTAGCAGGGCGCTTAAAAGCACGATGAAGGGTGTTTTGGGATCATTTCCATCGGGGACGTCGAGCCATAAGCGTAGACTCGTTAGTACGGGTACTCAGACACCTCGTAAAAAAATACGCCGTCTAAAAGAGAGAATTCCGGCTGCTGGATCCCTCCCGAGCAGAAAGAAGCGTAGGAGAAAGTCTAAGAGGCGTTTGGTATTTTAGTAGAGATATCATAACATTCATCACGATGTCGAGGGACCTGGAACACGCGCAATGCGGTAAAAGCGAACTGGATTTATTTTCATTACCAGGTATGGTTTCCACGATGACGGATTCACACTGGACCAAATATAGCCCCGTTACAGGCCTCGGGCAGTTGGACAGCACCATAAGGTTTGATATCAATAACCCTATAAACAGCTACGTAGACTTGGCCGAATGTTACCTGAGAATTGTATGCGAATTTAAGACGACGGATGGTCGTGCTACAGTCGCTGACAATGTGATGAGCACTGATGGGGAGACGGTGACTAGATGTAGAGACGTGTGCGCCCCCGTGACAAATACTCTACATTCTCTATTGCGGGAGGTGAGAGTAATAGCGGGCTCTAATCAACTAGAATTAACAGACAGTTTGGGTACATACCCGTACAGAGCGTACATAGAAACACTACTAAGCTGCGATAAATCGCAAATAGACAACAATTTGGTAGCACAGAATTTCAGTAAAGATAAGGCAGGGTGTTTTAATAACTTTTCTCTAGGCAATGAAGATTCCAACCCCGCATTCGCGAAACGACGGCAAAAATGTGTGCCCAGTAGGCCCTTAGAACTCGTTGGAAAATTACACTCTGATTTGTTCATGCAGCATAGATACCTCATAGACGGGGTACCTTTAAAAATCGAATTGATACGTAGCCCAAATAACTTCTATATGTTACACTCCACTACGGACGAGGCCGGTACTCGCATACCCGGTTATGCTTGCCATATACTCTCAGCCGAATTTCATGTCAGACAAGTAAACGTAGCACCAGCTATTAGAGACAGCCATATTAGAGGTTTGACGCGTGGAAGTACCGTGAAATATCCCATAGCCCAGGTGAAAACTACGGCACACGACATTCCCCAAGGCCTGAGAGAATATAATTCCGAACATTTAATAATGGGTCACATTCCTAAAAGAATAGTACTCGGTCTCGTTGACAACGAATCCTTTGCGGGGGTTTCGAACAAAAATCCTTTTAATTTCCAGCCTTCTGGATTGGCGCAAATAGCCGTTAAAGTAAACGGTCAGGAGGTAGGCAAAAGATGCCATACCGTCAATTTCGAACCCGACTCTACACGGATGTATCAGACATACCTAGAGCTGTTTAGAAATACAGGGGGTTTGGGGAGAAATTCCACGCACACAGTAACTCTCAAAGAGTTTTTAGACGGCACTACATTGTTTGTGTTCGATTTAACGCACGATTTAGGTGCTGACATGTCACACGTGTTTCCGAAGAGCTCTGGTAAGGTCGGCATAGAATTGAAATTTTCGCAGCCAACGCCCCCGAGCTCTGACGTTAGTGTGTTATAGAGAGCTGGACAGCGTAATAGAATTTGACCACTTTAGAAATGCCGCTATACACTGACGTAGACGAGGGACGAGTTACATATCCTTCTAAAATGTTGTACGGTCGAGATTTGGAATGGTTTGGTCGTAATGAGCCTTTCCTTAAAAACAACTATGGCGGTATAAGTAGCAGAGATACTTTGGAAGAGGTGTGTGGTAATAAAATAGTCGGGATGAAGAGACTGAAATATCCTATACTGTTTATTTGCAACACGGACAGAAAAAGCAAACCGGGAAGTCACTGGCTCGCTTTAAGCGTAGAGGCACCCGGTAGATTACACATGCACGACTCGTACGGTATAGATTACACGCGAATATGGCCAGAATTTCACGATTTTGTGACAAAATACGGTCGTTTGCATTATTCAAACGACAGAGTTCGTGTGCAAAGTCTGTCGTCAGTAGCTTGCGGTCACCATTGTTTATATTTCGGTTGCCGGCGATCTCGAGGTATTTCTAAAGACGATATAGTTAGTCACTTCAGTAAAAGTAATACGCTTGCAAACGATTCCATGGTTTTCAGATGGTATGATAGTGCCAAAAAGGATATACTCGAGAACTTTAAGAGCTATGGATTTTGACGAGGGAAAAATTAGGTTATTGATAGAGCTGTAGGAATGTTGTCAATTTTTTTTCCCACGCCGTCATCTCGTCGCAAAACCGGTCTTACTAGGCAACCATACAAGGAGGTGTTAAGCCTGACTTTTAGCGCTTACGCTGTAAGGTACTCACAGCGATAACGACAGTGTTTGATGTAATAGGTATAATTATG